TTATATGACCCTGGCATGTATCCCCTAGGGTCTCAAGACTTTTCTCCACCAGGCCCCGTGACCTCCGAAATTCCTCAAAAGCATGAATAAGCCTTTAATTTTGAAATTTTTTGATCTTTTTTCGTCCTGAAATAAAAATTGCCGAGATGTTTAGCATGGTCCCAAATACCCTCCGAGGGTCCAATTAGGTTGTTGGAACCATCAAATTTGCCTTAAAGCAGTCAATTTACCAGTTCACAACTTGCGCCGATTTAGTGAACTCAAGCCTACCGTGGACGTTTAGGACAACATTTAATGGTCATATATGGTTCCAAATGGCATTATATGACCCTAGATTGTATCCCTAGGGTCCTAAGACTTTTCGCCACCGGGACCCGTGACCTTCGAAATTACTCAAAAGTGTGAATAATAGACATTAATTTTTGATTTTTTGACCTTTTTTCGCCTGGAAATAAAAATTGTGGAGATGTTTAGAATGGTCCCAAATACCTTCCTGGAGTGAGTCCAATTAGGTGGTTGGAACCATCCAATTTTCCTTAAAAAAGTCAATTAAACGGTTTACAACTTTCACCGATTTTGTTAACTCAAGCCTACCACGGACATTTATGACAACATTTAATGGTCATATATGGTTACAAACGGAATTATATGATCCTGAGATGTATTCCCTAGGGCCTCAAGTCTTTTCGCAACCGGGCCCTGTAATCTCCGAAATTCCTCAAAAAACGTGGATAATAGCCTTCAATTTTTGAAAATTTTGACTTTTTTTCGCCCAAAAATAAAAATTGTCGAGAAGTTTACCATGGTCCGTATTATCCTCCGGGAGTACAATTAGGTGGGTGGTACCATCTAATTTTCCTTATAAAGGTCGATTTACCCGTTCACAACTTGCACCGATTTCGTGAGCTCAAGCCTACCACGGACATTTATGACAACATATAATGGTTCCAAACGACATTATATGACCTTGAAATGTATCCCCTATGGCCTCAAGAATTTTTGCCACTGGGCCTTGTAACCTCCGAAATTCCTCAAAAAGCATGGATGATAACCTTAATTTTTTTTATTTTTTTGCCCTTTTTTTGCACGGAAATAAAAATTGTTGAGATGTATTTTTACCATGTTCCCTAATACCCTCCGGGAGTTCAATTAGTTGTTGAAACCATCCAATTTGCCTTAAATGATCAATATACCCGTTCAGTACTTGCACTAATTTTGTAAACTTAAGCCTACACTTGATATTTATGAAAACATATAATGGCCATATGTTGTTCCAAACGGCATTATATGACCCTGAGATTTATCCCCTAGGGCCTCATAATTTTCGCCACCAGGCCCTGTATCCTCCGAAATTCATTAAGAAACGTGGATAAAGCCTTCAATTTTGGAATTTTTTTACCCTTTTCACGCAGAAATAAAATTGCCGAGATGTTTAGCATGGTCCCAAATACCCTTTAGAAGCCCAATTAGGTGGGCGAAACAATCCAATTTGCCTTAAAAACGGTCAATTTACCATGTTCGCAACTTACGCCGATTTCGTGAAATCAAACCTACCACGGACTTTTACAACAACATTTAATGGTCATATATGGATTCAAACGCACTACTACAAAAATGCTCAACGAGACCCGAAATAAGAGACCCCTTAATCAAATAACTGGTCTCTTTGTTTTAAGAGACCCAATGTTACAAATAACCGGTCTCTTTGATATTGTGTTATGACATAAAAATTTAACGGAGACCATTTATTGTAGATAACAGAATTCTCATAGTTGTAAATATAACAGGAGGTGAGACCTATATGTAACTTAACCGGTCTCTCGTAACTATTTTTATTTTAAAATTGAAAAGGGAGAGACCTCTACGCAACATAACCGGTCTCTCTTAGGTTTTTTTTTTTTTTTTAAAAAAAAAAAAAAACCGGAGAGACCAGTATGTGAGTTAACCGGTCTCCCTTACTCAAATAAAATTAAATAAATGGAACCCTAACAATTCACTATGCTAATTCCGCCTCCAACTTTCAATCTCCATCTCCGTCATCTTCTTTTTCCTCTCCTTCTCTCTCCTCCCTTTCCTTTAAACGGATTTCCTTCACCTTCAACTTTCCCAGATCGTCAAATTCAAGATCTCAAAAGAGCGATTAAGGCAATACACACAAAAAATACAGGGGAAAAAACGTACGTTTTCTCTTAATTGTGTTCTTGAATCTATTATGCTCTGAAATTCTCCATTGAAGCGGCTTTTCAGCTTTCTCTCCTCCATTGAAGCAGCTTCTAAGGTTTGATTTTTATATTTTATTTCTATTTTTTTGTTTTGGTTTTTTAATCGTCGAATTCCAATTTTAAAATCTAGTGTTAAATCGATGATTTTGTTTGATTTAGGGTTCTTCTAAGGTTGATTGAATATTGAACTATTTGTTATGATTTGATTACTAATAATTTTAACTTGGAATTTTGTTGCTAGAATTTTTATTTGATTATTGAGTCTGGTTGATAATGTGTTGTATGGTTTTGGTTGTTATATGTTAGAATGGAGTATGAAAATTAAATTTTTATCGCCGGATCTGAGGATTTGAATGTTTGATCAATTTTTTTTTCGATTTTTGGATTGTTTTGTTTGTGTTTATTTTCGAATTATTGATTTTGTGGATTTCAGTGAATGTTAGGCTTGTTAATTTCTAAGTTGATGTGATATGGTGCACAAGTAAATAAATTTATGTTTGGACTGTTATCTTGAGGGAAGAAGATGAAGATTGAAATTGAAGAGATATGGTTTGAACTGCTGGGGTTAGATCGAGCGGGGTCGCCGGCGGGGCTGGTGGCAGGGGGATTAGGGGAGGGGGTTGTTCAATGGCAGGGGAGGTTTTTTTTTTCCTTTTGTTTTTTGTTTTTTTAATCAACGAGTTTATCTTTTTATTTTATTAGTTTATTTTTTCAGTTAAGTTTTCTAAATGAATGTTTGATTTTGTGGTTATTCTCAATTATTATGATTGCTTATTGTGTGCTTTTATCTTTGACACACATGCTAGTTTTCACACAAGATCTTGAAACAAAGGAGAGAGGAAGAAATTGGAGTACTTAAGAGACATGTTTGACATAATTTTAGTATAGATTACAAGATTTGATGTATTATAATTTTAGTGGAATTTAATTAAAGTTTGTTAAAAATTTCTTTGTATCATGGTTAAACATTAATGTGGCATTGTTATTCTCTTTTAGTGTTATTGATTTAAATATCGCATAAATCAAATTAAATATGCTATTTTTTTATTTAAAATGCGACATAAGAGACCTGTTAAGTTAAATAGGCAGTCTCAACTTTCACAAAAAAGAGACTGCCTATATTAAATAGGCGGTCTCAGTTTTCAAAAAAAGAGACTGCCCATCTTTAATAGGCGATCTATTTTTTTCACAAAAAAGAGACTACCTATCTTAGATAAGCGGTCTTAGTTTTCTCAATTTTAAGACCGCCTTTATAAAGCAGTCTCTTTGCCAAAGAGACCGCTGAGCTAGAGACCGCCTCTAAGGCAGTCTCTTTGGTTAATTTGGACGGGTCTCTTTGGCTAATTTAATAGTAGTGACGGTATTATATGACTCTGAGATGTATCTCCTAGGGCCTCAAGACTTTTCGCCACCAGGCCCCGTGACCTCCGAAATTCCTCCAAAGCGTAAATAATAGCCTTTAATTTTGGAAATTTTTAACCTTTTTTCGCCTAGAAATAAAAATTGTCGAGATGTTTAGCATGGTCCCTAATACTTTTCGGGAGTACAATTAGGTGGCAAATACCATCTAATTTTCCTTAAAACGAACAATTTACCCGTTCACAATTTGCACCGATTTCGTGATATCAAACCTACCACGGACATTTAAGACAACATTTAATGATCATATATGGTTTCAAATGGCATTATATGACCCTGAGATGTATTCCTTAAGGCCTCAAGACTTTTCGCCACCGGACCCCGTAACCTCTGAAATTCCTTAAAAAGCGTGGATAATAGCCTTCAATTTTGGAATTTTTTGACCTTTTTTCTCCCGATTAAAAAATATATCGAGAAGTTTACTATGATCCCTAATACCCTCTGGTAGTACAATTAGGTGGGTAATACCATCCAATTTGCCTTAAAATGGTCAATTTACCTGTTCACAACTTGTAGTGATTCCGTAAACTCAAGCCTACTACGGACATTTATGGAGACATATAATGATCATATATGTTTTCAAACGGCATTATATGATCCTAAGATGTATCCCCTAGAGCCTCAAAAATTTTCGCTACCGGACCCTAAACCTCCGAAATTCCTCAAAAAGCGTGGATGTATTAGTAATCAGTTGACATCACAGGATTGGAAATGATGATGAAGTATTGGAAATGATGATGAAGTATCATCGGAATTCGGCTCTAATGCGTCATCTCCAAATTGTTGAGGTTCGTAGGAGACCAACGAAATTAGTAAATGAGTATTAAAGTCTAGCAAAATTAAAATTAACTAACGTCTATGTTATTATTAAAACTCATTGGGATTAATATGCTAACGTCATGTATACCCTTATTATTATTTGGTACATTTGTGTCATCTTATATGTAACACCCTTCTCTCACCACATTGAATTGCAATAACGTGTAATTAATTTCAAAACTCTAAGCTTATTTACTTCAACAACTATTCATATGTATAACCTTCATATATTTATATAGATTTGACATATTTAATATATTAATGAAAGATAATAGTATAAATTATTATGTTCTTCACTCACTCAATAATAATTGTTCAACATTAACCCTTTTTATTAATTTTAATAAAATTCACTACGAATATATAAATTTACGATATACCGGGCCATTGTGCGGGCTAATAACTAGTAATTTAATTATTTCTTAACCTATTAGAATCATGACAAAATTGTAGATGTTTATTATTTGGAATTATTAAATAGTTATGTAGCTTGCGTACATCTCACATAATTAATTATATTAGCTTAATTGATATGTAAAACTAAGCACCATTTGAGCAGTCCTCTGGTCCAAAGTGTAGTTGACCATTTGTAAGATCATATATTATCCTATGATCAATCTGTTGTTCAGATCCTAATATGGTCAAACCACCCACAGCCTGGTTACTTTCAAGAAAAAGCAAGCAAACAATAGGAAAACCATCTTCCTGAAACGTATCAAATGTTAAATCTGAAGTCATAAAGAAATCTGCTGCTCCCGCAAACACCCATGTAATGTACGGAAGGTTCACGGTTTCAGGCTCACTTACACGCTTGTAACAAAGGTCAAGCCCTGAGGTAGTACTTTGAAATCTCTCCACATTTTTATTAGCGGATTCAATGTTACGCGCAACCGCGTCTTTGAAGATAGTATAGGCCGCTGAGGTGATGCGGCTAGTAGGCGTGCCCGTGTCGATGATGCACCCTCCAGTTCCGTCACTTTTTATATAAAAAACACCCGGAGGAAGATCTAAGTCTTCGTCGTCTACTCTAATGCCGCAGAGGTTCAAGTAATGGTGGCCTTCGCGGTCAGCACGTTTAAACATAGGGGTGGTGTAAACTTCCGCTGGGGGTTGTATCACGTCGTCTCCGAATCGAAGGTGCATTGGCGGAAGTCCTTCTTCTTCTGGTTGTAAGCAATATGAAAATTTTCCGTTCACTAAAATCTTTGCTTGTTCAGGGAAGCTGTATTGGCCGTAACCCATTCCTAAATATCCGTTAAACTTATTGTTCATATCTTGACCTGCATCACGAATTTAAATATCTCATACTTGTACTCCATGATAGATAAAAATCAATATCAATTCAAATAGGTACCATCATTATTAAAATTTATGCATACCATAAAGTTTTTTTTTTCCAAAAAAAAAAAAAAAAAAAAAAAAAAAAAACTAGGTCGATGATAAATTATATGTAATCTTTTTTTTTTTTTTTTTTTTTTTTTTTTTTTTTGGAAAAAACATCGACCTAGTATATTAATAATTGACCACTTAATGTCACGAATACTGATTATTAATATGCTACAGAGAGAAAAGTACAGCTTAGGCAAATCTTAATTATACAGAGGTTTTTCAGTGCAACAAGCCACATGGTGCGGCACGGGTTACTTGTATTTAGGGTTACTTGTATTTTGGGGTTATTTGTAGGGTGTTACTTGTATTTTGGGGTTACTTGTAGGGTGTTGCTTGTATTTTGGGGTTACTTATATGGGTTACTTGTATTATGAGGTTACTTATATGTGTTACTTGTATCATGGGGTTACTTGTATTCTGAGTAACTCCTATAAGTAACTCAAGACCAAAATCCCATACCAAACCAGTAATACCCTACAAGTAACCCATGATCAAAACCAGTAACACCCATACAAGCTACCCTAGAATACAAATAACACATATAAGTAGCTCCTGACAAAACCGGTAACACCCTACAAGTAATCCCGACCAAAACCAGTAACACTCATACAAGTAACCCCAGAATACAAGTAACATATACAAGTAACCCCTGACAAAACCAGTAACACCCATACAAGTAACCCCAGAATACAAGTAACACCTACAAGTAACCCCTGACAAAACCAGTAACACCCTACAAGTAATTCCGACCAAAACCAGTAACACTCATACAAGTAATCCCATAATACGAGTAACATATACAAGTAACCCCTGACAAAACCAGTAACACCCATACAAGTAACCCCAGAATACAAGTAACACCTACAAGTAACCTCTGACAAAACCAGTAACACCCATAAAACCAGTGACACCCATACAAGTAACCCCATAATACAAGTAACACCTACAAGTAACCCCTGACAAAACCAGTAACACCCTACAAGTAACCCCGGCCAAAACCAGTAACACTTATACAAGTAACTCCAGATTACAAGTAATACCTACAAGTAACCCCTGACAAAACCAGTAACACCCTACAAGTAACCCTTGCCACACCATGTGGCCAACCACATACAAAAATTTGTATAATTATAAGCGTATTTTTAGTTCAAAATCCAATTCAATTTCAACCGGTAAAATCTAGAATATATATCCTGATTATTGGGCCTGATAAGCCTAGCATAATTTTCGAGTTTGGACCAAAAAATTTTCCTTTTTTTATTTTTTATTTTATTTTATTTTTTTTCTAGCCCATTTTTTATGGCCTCTTATATGTTTACAGTAATAACAATTAAATCATTGTCAAAAAAAAAAAAACAATTAAATCTATGACATTTATATTACTTAAGCAAATAAAAAGGTCAAAATTAGACAAAAAAAATTGTAAAATTTAAATAGATCTATTAAAAATTGGATGTAGTAACTTGTTAATTAAAGCGGTAAAATAATTAGAATATAGTTTAGTGTAAAAAGTCAAATTGATGCATTTATTTAAAAAAAGAGGTAGTACTAGAATACATTGTATAAAGTTTTGCATGTCGAAACCACATCCGAATAAAATACCATCTATTTCCAGGCCATCATTTTGAGACCTAAAAACAAATGACTCAGTAGCGATAATCGCTTTGACAACGCTGCCATCGCCATACATGCGTGTCTCCTTGCAAACATTCTCCGAGCATTCAGCAGTACTAGCACATTGGGAGCAAGGGATGGGCTTATAACTATGAGATTGGCTTGCAGGATAGTAGGGATTTACTTGATGGAAGCATTTGACACAATTTTCACATTGTGTCCACGTAAGATCGCTTCCAGTATCGAGCCCTAGATAAATAGTTTTACTATCTGGTTTACCATCAAATATACCAATGTCAATTTCAACAAGGTCTATAAACTCTTGTATAGTCATTGGTGGTCGTATAATTTGGTTCAATATCTTCGTTAGGGTTTCGAGTTTTGTTAGTACTAATTGATTTTACAAGCGAGTTTTGTGTCTTTTGAATGTAATCATTTCTTCTCATCGCTTTTGTAAGGTTTGACCGATACAAAGGTGATTCAGGAGAGTCGCGATGAATTAATCTAAAGCTAAAACCTTTGGTCTTTTGGGTGGTAGCATTGTTGTTAATAGCATGGATGATTAGAAAAAGATTTCCTAGGGAAAAAAGGAGAGTAACTAGCAAAGAGTAAGCAAATAAATTTGGAACAGCCATTGAAGAAGTTAAAAGAAAGTGATGGAATGGAATTGAAATATGCCTATTACTACAGTGTTATTATTATATATACTAATATACCACATAAATTCTACTCATTTTATACAATTTAAGGTATGATATCTTCTATATTTAATTTTTGATATCTTTTTTTAATTATATGTTTTGATAGGTTTGAATTATTGGTGAAATTATACTTTAATGATGATTGATCATTATTGGTACCTTTTTTTAGGGGTCATTATTGGTACTTGAATGATATGTCATGCAAATTACCATATTCAATCTATTTTCATTAATTATTTTTTTCTTATTCAACTTTAGTTATTGTTGATAGCTAATCCTTAGGTCCCATGCTCCCATTACATGTTCACATGTATGTTATGAAAAACTAAGGACCAATAAAATATTTGAAATAAATAAAGCTATTCTGGAAGAGATCCTGCAGCACACTGGGCCTTATTTTTCAACACTACTCCTCAACCTCAATACTCCCTGGTTTGGATATAAATCCACCATGCTTCATTATAAGAATTAAGAAGAGACTTAAAAATTATCTGTATAAATTATATATACCCGGGTGTAAGAAACAGTAAAGGGTATTTTTCTGCTTATTGATTATAAACATAAAATAATCCAAAAAAAAAAAAAAAAAACTATTACCTTTGAATACACTTTTTTTTTTTTTTTTTTTTTTTTTTTTTTTTTTTTTGAGGAATTGAATACACCTATCTTTATATGCACTCTAGTGTATATAAAAGGTGTTGAACAAATTTAGTGTGGTTGAATCTAGTTAGGTTGGCTACATTGGATTTATATTTGGTTGAGAACTTATTGACTCAAACCAAATTGAATTATTAAGTGGGTGTAAAGCTTTATTTTAACACCTAATTTATTTGTTAAGGTCAATCATCTTTCTAATTCTTACTAGCTACTATATATTATTGTATTAAAACTATTTATTTTACTATTCAACAAACTCTAAATACACATTTTCACCAAAAAATTATAAATCGTACTACATGATTTGAGTTTTATTATAACTAATTTTGTTTTGCACACACGTAGTATATGCAAAAATCCGTTACAGATGGTATATGAACACGTTTAGCATGAACCAACTCTTCAACTATAAGTATGATTATTATGGTAGACAATGACATGCATGGAAAATTGACAACAAACAACCATCATATATTTGACAAATTGACAGCAAATATAAGCTAAGCTGTTTTGCATGCATTATCGCAAATACATCTATCACTCTCTATACGCACGTACTGCTACAATATGATCCACACATATAATTTACGTGATATCTAATTAGTTTAATCTTACAAGTCACAATTTCACGCTTTTTAAGTCTTGCACAATGAAAAAAGCCAGAAAATCTAGAAAAATGCGACATCAATAATGTAGGTCTCATATTAACAACTTAATTTAGATCACCACTTATTATGATAGCCCGCTACCCATTAATGTTTATAGTTGCACAATGAAAAAGCAAGAAAAATATAGAAAAATGCAACATCAACAACGTAAGTCTCCATACTATGAACTGACTCAACACTTATCAGGAGCAGTTATGAACATGTGTAGGGTGATCGATCGCACAGGACCCCTTAATGAAACTACCATAAGATAGCCCTATTTTTTCATGAAATTTGTAATTAAGTACTAGTGAAATATTTTTCCTTAAAGAAATGATTTTAGGACCCAATTTAACAAAATTGCACTGGGGCATTTCCAGTAACGTGTTAGTATTTGTAGCCCCGCGCGCCTCTGACACTTATAATGGCCCGCTACCCATAAAAAATGTCTCTTATTTATGTAAACTTTAGTTACTCAAATAGAGTCAGTTTCTTCAAGTTCGAGTTTTGAAGTATTGTGCATGACAAATTTCAAGTCAAGTCAAGTCAATTCAAACACAACTTAACTCACTTGATGAGCATCCCTAATCTAAAACACGACCTCCAACACACTGCTCACTTTATGTGACTTTCAAAGGGCATCAAGATATTTCTTGAATTTCCTAACCATTGTAGCCTTCAAAAATTGACGATATTTCCGGCTAATATGTCCAGCTGGTACAATATTGCAATTACGTCTTGCTTCATCTTATCTAGCTATTGAGTACTTGCTAAGGTCAACAAAATTACACCATTTTGTCATGCATCGATCAGCATCACCTAAATCAACATGCAAACGGTGAGTTATAACTGAATATGACCATATGTATGAGCCCATCATTAATTGAAGAAACCAACTACCAACTAAGGCCGGATCGCACGACAAACAACATGCATGGTCGGGTGTCTATTTGACTAAATTGGCCGGGTCAGGACCCGGACAATACAAGCCCGAATACTAGTTATAACCTATGTTGTTACTTCTAATAATATCATACCATATATTAGTGTTTACAATAATAGAAAAGGCGGTAATGAAAGCCGGCTTGTATGGAATTTTAGTACTTGTTTGATAATGTTTACATGCATAGGAAAATTAATTTTCATGTGTGTCTATGTGAATTAACGAATAATCACTTAATATTTTCCCTTTATTATCATTTGTTACTATCATAATAAATGTCATTATGTATATACATAAGTGGATTAAAATTTGGATTATGTTAGACTTCTAATTATGTTAATCTATAGGTCCAGTCAAACTTCTTGTGCAGAAATTGTTCAATGGATGACGTAACAAGTCATCATCATATGATGCGCGTTTTAACTGGGACTTCGGTCTGGCGGTTCGGTTTGACCTCGGTTTGAGTCGGTTTCGGTTTGAAGCGGTTTGGATTGAAACGGTTTAGTTTAGCTGGCGGGTCGGTTTGGTTCGGTTTGGGTTAGTCACGGCTCGGTTTGGTTTCGGTTTATTTCTTTGCGGTTTGAATTCGGTTTGGGTCATAAGCGGGTCGGTTTATAAACGATTCGGATTATGTCGGTTCGGTTTGATACGGGTCGGTTAAGGGGGCGGGTTTACCCGGGTCAATGTCAGTTCGGTTTACAAACGGTTTGGATCAAGCCGGTTTGGTTTGAAATGGGTCGGTTTAGGGGCGGGTTTACCCGGGTCAATATCGGTTCGGTTTATAAACGGTGCGAATCATGTCGGTTCAGTTTGAAATGGGCCGGTTTAGTGGAGGGTTTACACAGCTTAATTGGTTCGGTTTATGAACGGTTTGGATCATGTCGGTTCGGTTTATAAGCGGTTTGGGTCATGAATTCATGATTGTTTTAAAGGTCGCGTCATGACCATGATTTAATGAGTTGATACTTATAATAAGATAAATCGATAATTAAGAATGTACAAGTGTTCAATTAGATTGATCAACAAGTGTTTTAAACTTTTAAGTTTTAATGATCAGATATGTTTATCGATTGTAGTACATACCAATAATTCAATGAGGCAATGATACTTATGATAGTATGATAATGATACCAACCGTACATTCGTACGATATGATATACATAATAATTAATTTATAATTACATATACATTAACAATATCGTATTGAATCAATTTCCATTTCCAAACATTGCATTTCTTATAAATTATAACTTACACGAGATTAAATGGATTCGTTATTTAGTTTGTTACTTTATTTAGATTACTAACTCAAACAACTTAATAAGTTAAATGGACGAAATCACGAAATCACTAATTAAAGTGGCGATGAAATCATTATAAAATACTAATGTACGAATAGTCAAATATACAACGGTTAGATTGAATGCCCATGAAAAACAATGGTTAGATTTTCATTACTTTATTAGTTATTAGTATTACTTATTAAGTTATTATTAGTTTATTATATATATATACTGATATACAGTCACAGACTCACAGATATATATAATATACATATAAAGATGTCAGATATTGATGTGCATTAACTCATTAAGTCATTAACTATGTCGTATTGAATCAATTTCAATTTTGAAACATTTGCGTTTCTTACAATTTATAACTTATAAGTAATAAACTAATAATAATAATAATAATAATAGTAATAATAATAATAATAATAATAAATAATAATAATAATAGTAATAATAATAAAAATAAAAATTATAATAATATTATAATAATAGTAGTAGTAAACTAGTAATAATAATAATATTAACAAATAATTATACTAACAATAATAATAATAATAATAATAATAATAATCCCTCAAAATAATAATAATAATAATAATAAATAATTAAAAAAAACGGTCAAAAAGACCTAGAAAAGCACAAAGAAAAATCTAGACCGTTAGATCTAGATGAATATTCTGGAATCTACAAAAAAAAAATGAACGGTTAGATGTTGAGATTGAATGTGGACGGTTAGATCAACTGAACAAGTAAAACCTAAACCTAGAAAAAAAACCCCACTCTATCAGCCATTCAGCCGTTTTACTCACTCATAGTTTCTCTCTCTAACTTCTCAGTTTCTCACTCTTTCGTTCTGAAATTCTCAAGAATCTCAAGCTCAACTTCTCAACTTTTAAAAATCCTAATTAGGGTTTTTGTTTTCGTTTCATTTGTGTTTTGGATCTACATTTCTGATTTCTCGCTTTACATTCTCGTTTTTTTGTTTTTTCAAATCTTCCTCTCCTTCAATTTGAAGGCTTCAAGCCGTCAAAAGTTCAAAACTCAAGGTAATTTTTTGTTAATTTTTGTTGTTTTCGTTTTGATTTTTTTCGTTT